TGCCTCTACGAAATCCGTGCTGGGCATCGCATAGCAGATTATGCTCTTCTAGGAAGTGCATTATTTCTCGCTTTACTATTTTCTCCATAATTTTGCAGCAAATTGAAGTAAGGCTGATTGGTCTGTAGTTGTTTGCTAAGATCTTGCTGCCGCCTTTATAAATTGGCGTGATCCGCGCTGATTTCCAATCGGAGGGCAAATAGCCTGCTTCGAACGAAGCTTCGAAGAGCATGGACAGCATGAGTGACTCTGTTCGCGATGTGAACGGCGGCTTTATTGCTGACAACTCGGCCAAAGTCGAGCGCTGGCGTGAGCACTTTGAGCGCCATCTCAACTTCGATACCCAACCTACATCGCCCTTGTTCTCCTCCTCAGCGGAGTTTCTTCCCTCTCCTACCTATGCAGTGCCATGCGATCCCCCCTCCGAGGGAGAAGTCGCCGATGCCATACGAAAGTTGCGCAACAATAAGGGACCCGGAGAGGACGGTATGCCCGCTGAAATCTTCAGGTCTTGTGTCGAAACTCTGGCGCCTTGGCTCCATGAGGTGATTGAACGAGCGTGGAGAGACGAGGTTGTTCCTGATGACTGGGGCTTAGGCATCCTTGTACCTATCCTCAAGAAGGGAGATAAGACGAGATGCGAGAACTACCGCGGCATAAGTCTCATCGACGTTGCTGCGAAGATCTTCGCTATTGTCCTACTCAGGCGATTCCAGGCTGTGCGTGACTCAAGGACGAGGCCCAACCAAGCCGGATTTCGTGCTGGACGTGGATGCGCAGATCAGATATTCACAGTGAGGCGCATTCTCGAATTTCGCCATAGCTACCAACAACCGACGGCCGTCTGCTTCGTTGACTTTGCCGCCGCGTTCGATTCCGTTCACCGTGATTCCCTGTGGCGGATAATGGCGCTAGATGGTGTACCGGCAAAAATCATCGCCATGATCAAGGCCTACTATCGTTCCACTACTGCGAGAGTCCTGGCCCGTAACAATCTTTCCCAACCGTTCGGTATTCGGTCTGGTGTCCCACAGGGTTGTATCCTATCACCCATACTGTTCAACTACGCTATTGACTGGATCCTCGTGAGGGCACTACGCGACAGTGACGGCGTTGAATTTGCACCGGGGCACCGACTGACTGATCTCGACTATGCCGATGATATCGCCTTACTTACTTCAAGCTTTGGTGATCTGCAGTCTATGGTGTCATGGGTGAACGAAGTCGCTAAATCGGTCGGTTTGTCCATAAACGCTGCAAAGACCAAAGTATTCTCAAGCTGCATCCCTGACCAGGAGAAGGTACCCCTGGGGATTGATGACTGTCAACTTGAAGAAGTGGACAGTTTTAAATACCTCGGGGCGAGGCTGCTGCCTAATGGACAGAGTAAGGACGACATTGTCTCCCGAATCGATGCTGTCCGCTGGGTTTTTTTCAGGCCTTCGGAAATGCCTGTGAAACCGACGTGACCTCTCCATCGCCACTAAGATTCGCGTGTACCGTGCATCTGTCCGGTCTGTCCTTCTCTACGGTTGTGAATTCTGGGCTTTGCGCGTGGAGGATGAGCGAAAACTGGAGGTATTTGACTACCACTGCTTGAGGATCATCCTTCGAGTGAAGTTAACCGACTTCGTCTCAAATGAGATAGTTCGCGCTCGCTGCGACAACATCGCGAGGATAACTCAGGCCATCCAAGAAAGACGACTGAGGTGGTTCGAGCATGTTCTTCGTCGTCCGCCTCAGGAGCTCAGTGTTACTGCCCTCGATCGGGCACCGTTGCCCCATTGGAGGCGTCGAAGAGGGGGTCAGTTCAAAACTTGGCTCGACACTGTCCGTCAAGACATGGAGGTGGTTCTTGGACCTTCGGTATTTGGTCTCCGTAGTTGGCGAGGGGAGTGGGTTGAGCTGTCTAGATCTGCTGCCGCGGATCGTCACGCGTGGAGAGGTACAGTACGGGACATCATCGAGGCAGGCTAGATCAGACATGATCGCAGCCGTATCAAGTACAATTAAAGTAGTAAGTACTTATCATTCCGAGATTACAAGCTAGCAAAGGTGAAATACCAACTCGATGACTGCCATCAGCAGGAGACAAGAACTCCTCATCCGTCCTAGTAGGCTCAGAGACACTGTCATAGACTACTTTGTCAAGATATTCTCCCTTTTACATGGCCCCGTTCACAACCGTAGTGTGCATTAACGTTCATAATTTGCTTAATGAATGCCCTAGCAGGCGCACCACAGATAACGGCTGCCAGGCGGAACTGCAGAGTTTTGTCGATGACATCGACACGCAGACCAGGATTTGCAAGGGTTCCTAACTCTTCTACTGGCGGACTGCAAAATGACTGAACACCGGGCGGCTTTCCCTGCCCACAATAAATTCCAACTGAAAATACACGGCTAACAAAGGGTTGAATAATTCTGCTTAAAATCGGCCAAAATTATCTTTTGGTCTTCTTATGAATAGGAGGATCGTCGATGGCTAAGTACACTACTGTCTCATCACCTACCACCTGCATGGAAAACGCACGTAACTGCTCAGTCAACTGCTTTACAAGTCCTAAGTGAACGTACTCGCCGCTGCCCAATGCCGTTACCGGTGGCAGGTCGCCTGCTCCGCCGAGAAGTGTTCGTGCGTCCAAGGGCATGTCCGACGCGTCGGCTGGTTTCATCTGCCTCAAAAGCAGATTTGTCAGCTGCTGGTGGGGTATTCGGGAACGAACTGCCCAGGTTCGCAGCAGGTCGGGTGCGGTTACGTCCACCTCAGTTGGGAAGGACATCGGACGCTCTTCAAAATAACACTGCCACTGTTCAGTCGTCGAGGTCGATGTGTCCTCCGAAGAGGACATTGAGGAGTCTATTGACTGAGTGTAGGTGGATAAACCTCTCGACGAAGATGATGACTTGAGCGGGTACTTCTCTCTCAATTTCTCGGCAATTTCACGTATACGATTTCTAAACTATCTCTCTCGACACGCCTACGTTGAGTTCTCCGAGATACTGGTCTGAACGTAATAAAAAAGGAAACGTTAAAACTCAGTAGTAAGGGTTAACAGAAAAGGCAAAGCACAGGACAGCAATCTGCGCGCTGAGCGGCGTGGCAAGCCAAGAAGTGACACCCAGGCGCGAGCATGCGAAAAATCGATAACATATCAGCGTACACTTACTCGTGCGCGGGCGTGGGAAACTTGCTGCTACGACTGCGGTCAACCAATCAGAGGCCAGTTGCGTGCGGGACGCGAGCAGCGAGTCTCGCTTCGCAAATAATTGCTATTAGCGTCATCGCCCTCGTGAATTCCGAGAATCTGAAAGAAGAAGACATTAACTAGCTAAAAACTGGAAATCAGTAGCCCGAAACCTCGGAAATTCAACAGCTGTGTCCTTTAAGCAACAGACAGAAAGTTAGTGAACTCAACTTTCGTTAAAGTTGACGTGATGCTGGAAAATAAACCAGAAATCTCCATTCCACCCTCTGTGACTTTTCGGCACTGCATAAATTGCTCACTGACCACCACAACGCAAGAATTTTTAATGTATTTCCAATAATCTTGCATTATTCAGAAGACCAGCTGGCGAGCATAGTGTTAGTGTGCTAATTATTGACATTCAAGAAACGTCTCAGTACTGTCTACCCGGACATACAATTTATGATGGAGGAGGAAGAAAACAGCCAGCTGGCCTTCCTAGACGCCCTCATATGCCGCAAAGATTGTGGTGGCCTAAAGACCAAAGTGTTCAGGAAAGCGACACATACGAGGCCAGTACTGAACTTCAACAGCAACCACCCAATCAGCCACAAAGGCAGTCATGACAGGACACACTATCGGCGTGTCGAAACGCACTGCAATGAGCCGGAAGAAAAGATTGCCGAACTACAATACTTCCGACGGGTCTTCAAAACCAATGGGTACCTGCGCAACTTCGTCAACCGGTGCATACGCAAAAGGTACGAAAGGCCTAACCGCGCGGACACCAAATCTTTGCGAGCGCTTCCGTATGTCAAGAACGATGCGGATGCTGTCGGCCGCCTTCTCACACCAAGTGAAGTTGGAGTTGCACACAGACCGGAGGCAACCATCAGGCGTCAGGTAATGAAACCGAAAGACCCACTGGCACGGCAAGAAACGTCTGAAGTCGCTTATGGGACCTGATGCAGTTGCGGACAAAGCAACTACGTCGGAGAAACTGGAAGACAGCTCCGAACGAGAATGGCCGAACACGCTGCAGCGGTGCGGAGAAATAACGCTAGCTCTCAAGTTGCGGCTCATTCGACGAGATCCGGCCACACATTCAAATTCGACGAGATCGAAATTCTCGCAAGAGGTGACAATCGCGTGAGCCGGGAGCTACTTGAATCATGGTTCACTGGCCCCCATTCCATTAACATGTGCAGTGATCTTCCCCTTCCATAGTTTGTGCTGAGACTTCGCCTAGGCGAGGAAATTAGCCACGCGGGGAGCGCACAGGTGAACACTTTTCCCAACACCAGGGTCGGTGGGTCAGATGGTCGGACAATCATCACACCAACTTCCAACACCCGCGATGAAATTGTAGCAGTTAACGACGCGGATGTCGGTTATCACACCACGTGCAACGACCCCTGATGAGGGGGGAGCCGTGAATATTCATAGGTATACGGTAGCATGGCGACTGCATCCTATAACTACTGCAGCCTTGTATCTGCTTTTGTCCCCGATGATGGTTTCGGGCAGGAATCCGAAACGTCAGGCGAATAGGGCTCTTGTCCCAACGATCGCGTCTTCTTCTTCTTCTTCTTCTTCTTCTTCTTCTTCTTCTTCTTCTTCTTCTTCTTCTTCTTCTTCTTCTTCTTCACAAATTGCTCACTGATTACCACAACGCGAGACTTTTCGGGGTATTTTCAATAATCCCGTACAATTCAGAAAATCAGCTAACGAGGATGGGTTTTCTATCGATAAATTCCCACCAGACCAATTCATTTATATGGAAACGGGTACAGATAGCGCAGCCTTGATGACAATGAATCCTAAATCACTGGAATCACAGGAAATCTCGTCCTGTACCACTCAGTCGAATGTTAGTTCTTCTTCCGCGCAACTGCAATATCAATAGTGTGCCATCATGATAGTCAGACTTAGTTTTTGGGGCAAAATCTTAGACTCACACGAAGTGCCTTCACTGGGTCATGTAACGGGGGACGCTGGTCTCGTTTCCCATTAGGCTCAGTATGGAGCCCTGACAAGCAGTTACATAGCAAACAGGAGTATATACTAAAAGGAGCCCAGACAAAGACTAGGGACACTGGGATGACCATTTCTGGCTTATTAGTCGTCGTCTGACGGTCTTACCCAAATAAGGTTTTGTCCCACCTAAGTCTGTAACAGGCGTTCTTTGGTCATCGATCTGGCATTGAGTCACAGGCGTCCTCGTCCCGTCGGTTGCAATCAGGAACGCACCTCCAACATGAGATTATATTACCAATCGTTACCGACAGGGCAATGGACACATGGCTCAATCAGTCAGTAAATTTGGAGTAAACGACAGAAGCCCTGAAAACTCCATTTCGAGGGCACAGACGTTAGGGAAAATAGTTAAATTGCAAGACTTTTGCTTTCACTTTTAGTACGGAGAATTCATAAATAGTGTAAGATAAAGGCGAAAGGGGTATGGTGTTCGCGAAATAATTGCGAAAAACTTTGTTCACCGCATTCGGATTGTGAAGATTTCCATAAAAAGGACCTATTGAAATCCTGCTAGTAGTATATTTATAATCTTTCCAGTAATCCGCCAGATCAGGTTTCGCAGTTCGGGTTGCCTTTCAGCAAGTGAGTATCCAGTTGTCTCTTGAACACACTCACGGTAGGGGAATTAACAACAAACTCCGGCAAAGAGTTCCATTGGCGAATGACCCTCTGTGAGAAAAAGGAGGAGCGTTGATTTGTGTGGCACAGTTCCTTTTCAAGCTGGTAATCGTGTCGTCTGAGATTAGACGGCTGCCATCTCAAAAAACGTTTCCCAGTCGACATCCAGAGTAAGTCCTCTTAGCGACTGAAGCGTTGCTGTGAGGTCACCTCTGTCCTGCCTGCAATGGAGGGGAAAGGGGTTCAAGGTCGTTAGGCGCTGCTCGTACGTATAATTTTTGAGGCCATGAACAGCCTTTGTAGAACGCCGTTGTGCACCTTTAAGAATATCTATATCCTTCCAAAGCCACGGCCGCCAAGCCTGTACCGCATATTCCAAGTGCGGCCACACAAATGCCCCATTTACCGTGCCAAAGACATCCGCATTCAAGTTGATAAACGTTCTGCGTATCGCGCTAATGACTGACATTTCCCGCGCGGCGACTTAAGAACACTGCATGGTGACGCTTAAATCGTCTTTAATGAATACAGCGGGATCTTTTTGCACATCTACGGTTTTAAGTGGTTGATTGTCCAGGAGATACTGTCGTAAGGGTGCATTTGTTCTTCGCCTCGCTGATACTACG